GTGACTATTTTACTTATTATACTCAGCTGTAGAATATTAATTAAATAATATTATTATGGTGGACGCGAAGTTATACTCGACGAATAAAGATAAGTAGAAGCAATCATAAATGCAGTGAAATTATAAAATTATCATATATAAGTACCTGGGTGTAAGATATATTTAGTGAATATAGACATTAAAACAATAATCTAACTATTTTCATAATCACTTTAAGTTCATCAAATATTGCAGTGATGTATTGTCATATTAAACACAAACTGCAGTATACCAACAATCAATAATTACCTCATGTCTCAACATTTATATTTGTTGAATACATGATGCATAGAAATTCAAGAAGTAATATAAAATTATGGTATTACAAATTATTACTGTTTGCAAACAGTATGAAAAGGATATTATGATAAAATATGTACACTAAAAATACAATACATTTAAAATAATTTCTAACGTTATCAAATTCAAATTATGGATTTTAATAATTTAAATGATTACTAAATCAGTATTAATATGTCGTGTATAATTAACAATCGTTCGATGGAAGTAAAAGTAATGCGATGTCTTGAATACTTTTTTAACGAGTTCAGAGCAACAAGATTCTTCAATCGAGCAATTATACTCATGATCAATGATCATAATATTATTAAAAATGTGGATAATTATAATAATTGCTCATATTAAAAACAGAAAATGCGGGTTTTCTTTAATTTGAGAGTAATATTCATTCAATAAAAATGTCAAATACTATACCTAAATAGGTAAATTAACTTTGTATACGTTATATACCTACCTACTTACATCGCTTTTATCTATAATATACGTATAACTAAATAAGTATTGTGTGCTCGTATAACAACAGAGAAAGTTCAAATAAAATATGCATACCCACTTCTACTACTGTTAAACGGTTTATGGCTATTAACTTAATGGTAGTTATTTTATTGACGAAAAAACTATACTTCTAAAAATCATTAACAATATACGAAAACTGACTAAACTAGTATTAACAAAATATAAATCGATTTCAATTACCGTGGGAATGTGGGATACTAGAATTTACCATGAAAAAATATTTATAGTTTCTTCTTTATAATACGAGTAGTTTAGTATAATGCTCACAGCGTTTCGATAAAATCAAGTAACAACAGGTCAAAGTATTATATTTAATTAAAAATGACAATATGTCACTATTAAACTACCTACTAATAACATATAAATATTTAATGTTTTTTTAATTCTGTGTAAATATCAATATGTATAACAATCGCTTTAGTTAGAACATAGTTGGGTAATTTAATGGTCGATAAAACAATGTTTTTAAATTCTTATTAAACATACCCGTATACATGTATACATTTAATTATATATGTAATTTAAAACAGATAATTTAAGATTTTTATTTAAAATTGTATTCATAGAAGGTAGACGATTTTTTTTCCATGATTAAAAATGTAATATTTAATAATAAGTATTATTAATTATCGGTCTTGATTGCCAACCCGAAGACGTCATCTCATTTCTGAGGAGTACCGAAATAAAAAAATTAATTTAATACAAACAAATACTTACCTATAAGTTTTTTTGTATTATTACCTATCGAATTCTATTCGTATGATTGTGTAAAATAACATATGAAAAACTAATGACTCGCGCTGCCTATGCGTATGATGATAATAAGCAATTTTAATAAAATTAAAAAAAATTCGATATCCAAAAAAAAATAATTTTATCATTATAAAAATATAAAATAATTATTCATTAAAAAAACTATTATTATTATCATTTATAACCGTCAATGTAAAAAAGTTACTTCTATTTCATGGAAGTTTTATGGTTGTATTATACTATTATATCTGAAATATAACAATTGAAACAAAATCAATTTTGGTGTAAGATAAAAAGTAAAAACCTATGGTTACCATCTACATCATTATTTTGTGATTGACGCTATCTAGTACGTATAATTTTTATTTTAGCCTGCTAAATTAGTCTTCCACTCTTATCTATACTTACTAAATACATTATTATTTATTACACTGTCGAAGGTCAACAGAACCGATTGTTTATTTTGTTCTCATTATACAATCAAACTGTTGTCTGTGTTTAAGAATATTAATAAATATTAAATAGTATACATTTTACATTTATACGTGGTGACAAATGAAAAATAAATATACATTAATGTCCTCGTGGCCCATACCATAGTATTTGTATTGTATAAATTGTTTTCTATTTAAGATACTCCAAAAAAGGAAATGAATACGTGAGGGCTGCTACACTCAAGTTATCAAATAAATAAACGTCATTATCAATTGTAAAACTAATAAATAGGGTTATCATCATGATTCTGTCAAAAGTTTTTACGAAATCATTGAAGTGTTCGAGTGCATAACTAATTTATGAACTTTATGATTATGACATTACATTTTAGTGAATGATTAAACGAGAAAAGTAGATAAAACGTGTGAGCAGAACAAGTGTAATATTTTGGTAAATTTAATCATCAACATTAGACTATTGAGTATTGACAATATATCTTGACAAATATGTGTATTGAAAGAATAAAAAAAAGTATTTTGTTTGTATTTATGTAAAATACATTTTACTAATTTTACGATTAATAAAACATTGAATATAACATGATTTACTTGAAAAGATGTGTCGTGAACTTATTTTATACCTATGTATTTTATTTACTGAAGATAACAACCGTACCTAATTAATGTTTTATTATTTAAAACCGTCCATTATAATATACTTTTGTATAAACATAACATTTGTGACATTATTTAATGTGCTAGTATGATAAAGTTATACATATTAATTATATACAAGAATAGAATTGCTGATATATCGGTACACTTGTAATGATTTTGTAAAAGCCAAGAAACCTTAGTAACTACCCAAGCAGGTACCAATAGCCAATAGGCAATAATACGTGTAACCTTATGAACCTTCGTTGAATCAAAACGAAAGTGACGTATGTTCAATCGCAGCTCTACGACTATTGTGTATTTGTGTTAATGTTTATTTCATTAATAGGGAATAGGCTGAATATATTGTGGAATTCGAGAAAATGTGAAAGCTTCCAAAAATCTACAAGAATATATTATTTAATTTAAACGTTTAATTCCAGTATTTGAATAACGCATGGATATATTTTATAGAATTTTTTTTTTTGTTTAACGTTATTACAAAATAATTAATGTATGCTATAAATTATTAAGAATTTATAGCTTGGTAAAATAAACAACCTAATACCTAGGTACTAAACACAATATATATATATATATTATGATGTTACTGTAAGTATGTTTGGAAGTATATTATTCCTGTAAAATATATCTTTACATAAAAGGTAATAAGGCATATTTTGTTCTATTAAAGCGCATCCAAATTTCAATATTATATTAATTTATTGTATACCTACATGAGATATGACTATACATAGTGGATGCTCCTACATCCTACATTATAGGTTTTTGACTGACTGAACCCAACTAGTGGTGCTCGAGGGGAACATGCAATAATTGTTTATTTTACTAGGAGTATGTATATTACGAAAACAATGATATAGTTGTACAATTTTATATAATAATAAATAATAATGTATACTTTGAAATAATTTACGGATAATAGACTTTTACAATATACATATATGCTTGAGTGGTGGGCCTAATGTTAATATATTGTTCGATATTGAACCTTCATACATCAAAAGGAAAACGTAGGTGGGTGTATAAATCACGATTCTAAACATTCATATGAATACAGTTAATACTTCAAATACTTAAAGTATAACAATCACAATATTCATTTAATTTAAGCCTACATCTAAGAACTAAGAAATATTAACTTCATAATATTAAAAATAAATAAATAAAACAATTACTACATTAATGATTATTACTAAAAGAGAGAGTTTCAATAAGAAGATGTCAAATCATTTTACATTATGAGGTACTATATTCTTGTTCGTGCAACATAGTGTTTTTATTATTTTAAACAAAGTAGATACTATTTGAACTTGCGATGTATCGTAAAGTGAGCGATAACCATCTAAATAGACTCTGTTAATGTTTTATGTATACAATATCCAAACTAAACATAGAGAACTATCCAAATAATAATAATTTAGTAATTCAGAATAAATTTTAGTTTAATTCGATTTTACTATTTTGAATTCAAGTCGAACAAATTTAACATAAGTATACATCCATGCAGGGACATTTAGATTCTTGATACTAAGAACATTAAGAAAACACCCATAAAAAACGTGTTTGAATTCGAGATAATGTTGTATTGATTAAAAAATAATAATAAATATAGAACACACACATACGTTTTAATAACATATAATTTGAATTAATTTAAGATAGTTTTTGGGAGTGTGTTTCTCTAACATGAATTCGTTAAATACTAAATGATTGTATAAGCAATAAATTTAAAAAGCAAATAGTAAATATTTTTGTAGAGTCGTTTTTGATATTTAGCCGTAGGCCAATAATTCGAACGTTCAATAATAATATTTCTAAGCCAACAAAACATTATCTCCCATAGTAATATGGAAACTTATGACTTATAGGAAAGAGACGTGCTGTTGAGTTGTTATTATTATCACCATCGATGTTTATTGAATATTTGTGAGATAAAATAAATGAAAAAATAACAACAAAACAACAAAATTGTTTTCAGCAAACCAATGGTCGAACAGGGGAAATATATATTGATTTTAAAAGTTTTAGGTTCTGGACTACTCACTCCACGACGTTAGCGCGTTATACGACACCGGGTTGTGTTATTCGATACCTATATAACAACGTTATTATACTGTCAAATTCACACGTCACTTGAACAAAATACATTATACGCACCGGGCAGTGGTATATATATATATATTATTAGCTTCTGGGACAATATAATACTATAGAGAATAAGTATAGGTACCTAATACTTATAAATATCCATATATTGTATAAAGTAAATGATACACATACCTCGCACCGACTACCACTTGTTTTCTGGCGATGTCGAACAACAGCTGCGAATACGATGTCACTCCGTCTTCCGAAAACGTGTCGGCCGTCGACATCACATCTGCGAAAAACCAAATAATCAAAATTATACACACATCAAAAATATATAACCCGTGGCCGACGTGTCTATTATCGACGAAAATTTTTTATACGTTTTTGAACGATTTCGTTTAGTTTTTAGTTTTATTAACCTGTTCTGTTTATACATTTTTTCCATACAGAATACGTTATCCCGCCTCCGGGCATCGATGCCGTTCTCTCGTAGTATTATTGTTATTCGGTTAGTATTTTTATTATACATATTATAATAATCTTTTTTTGTTGTTGGCGAACGAGTAACGACCATATGGACGCATTCAAAAAGGTAAGGGAAAAGGTGATTTAATTTATTGAGACGCGCGTATATGCTATATAACATCCAACCGGTCCTAAACTCAAGTATTTCCCGCGAGTAGTCGGCTGTAAAGAAACAAATGCGAAAAAAAAAATGATAACCGACCTCAAAGTGATTATTAAACATAAAATGATTATTTTTATTTTATTACATACGTATTATACAAGTATTTTATTTTTTCGAAAACGTTACAATTATTATTGTAGTTCATGATTTGAATGCACTCGAGTCCATTTCGGTCAAGTGTCAATCGATTGTCGTTTGTCATGAAATCATTTCTCATGGTACGCGTGTATAATGTATAACCGTTGTTCAAGACGCAACGTTATTTATACATATTCATTAAGCATCACATAGAAGATCACGATTTTTTCAACATATATTATTATAATTTATATTGCTACAGATTGTTATTGGGAAAACTTGTCAAAGATTATTACTTTTTACATACTTAAGTAGTATTCATTTTTAAAAAAATATTGCAATCATTAATAATATCTAGTCACATAATATTTTCAAATATATTGTATTTAAAGTATTCTGTATAGATTTAGAGTATTAACACTATAGGTACATTAAAAAAATTATAATTCCTCAGTAGTGAAAATTAATAATAATTGAGGACACTACTATAGATTATTTTCATGTCTATAGCAAAATATAAAGGTTTCTTTTAAATTTAAATGTGCATTGGATATTGGATTAGACTCATAAATAAATTTAAATATAAGTAAATACATATTCAGTGTTTTTTATACCTATAAAGCTTACTATAAAAATGGTATATGTACTAACCCACAAATACCACCCAGACTATTATCTTATGTTTTCTTTCAATTCTTATATTAACGATTTAGCGTGTATTTTAAGATAATTCACATACGATATTGTTATAACTAGGTACCAATTATTGTTCATGTATTTTCAAAGGTTTAATAACTCAATTTGTTAATAATTAAGTATGTACCTATAGTTAGCTATTGAATGTGTTAAAAAAACGGTTATTATCATTTATATGTGTATTTGTGGTTTAATTAGTTGACTTACCTAAAATGTATTTTGAATTCACACTGTATGATTATCCAAAATCGATATGCTATTATATATATGCTACTTCAAGTCACTACTATTAAGTAATAGTTACTACGAATAAAAACCCGAAGAGTAGCTAATAAATAATAATAGTAGTATCTAATAATTAATAAATCTACGAAAAACGGTGTTACAAATCCATAAAAAAAATATGAGAACGTCAATCCTCAAATATTTAAATAATTTAATTGACTGTATGGCTATACTATAATATCAATTATCAATTATCAATATATAATTTTCTACAAAATATATTATAATGTAAAGAAAAGAAAAAAAATGACATTTATATTTTATAGTAATATGGTAAAAATGCAATATTTACAATGAAAGCATATAGAATAATTAACAACAATTTTCAAAAAAACTCAATTTTTCAATTGAAATGAAACATTATTCCTTGTATTATATTATTGAAGAATCTTTTCAGTGTACTGTTTACTATATTATGTAGTATCATTCAATCGTGATAAAAAAAGAAATTATAACCATACTGTACAGTTGGTGTATGATTAATGCAAGACAGATAGTAATCGAATCAAAGTCATGGTAGGTACCATATAACTATACGAATATAATATCTAAAGAATATAATGGCATCATGATGGAAATTACAGCTTTAGCACCATTTATTACCGTTACATTCACGAATAAGCAGATTATAATATTATTACATTTTATTATTTCATAAGTTATTCATATTATATTGATTTATGTTAATGTCAATTATTTTAATGCATTTTTTTAATAAATTGTACATCTCCTACTTGTGCGAGATTCGAAGATATTCGTGACTTCTGTCTTCAGAAAGGGAAAATTCTGTTTAAAGTTACTCACTAATGGATATAACTTAGTAAATTATATTGAACATTTGACATTTTGATGATCTTAGAAAACATTTGTATAATAATAATTTTACAAAAAAAATTAAGTCGCTTATTATTTGGTAGCTACGCGTTTACATTACCATTATTTGAGTGTTTAGTACATAGTAGTACATAATATACCTATTAATGTATTAAATAGTTTGTCCTAATTTATTATCTCAATTCGGAAATAAAACCTGATCTTGTGTAAATTGGCAAAACAGGTTTATGATGCTAAATTCGACTAATTATGACTAACGATCACCTTTCAAGTATTTTTATCGGCATAAAACATTTTTAACCATGCTTAATGCATATTCGGCGGACGAAATCGCTACATCACGGATTTTTTTGTTCGATACATTTTTGGATTCATCACGACAGCGAAGAGATACTTATCATTATAGAAACTCATAATATTATCTAATTCTAATAATTTAAAAATAATAAATTATATAGGTATCAGGACCAAAATCGACCTCAAATAGATATTCATAGACCATAATTATTACGAGACAAGAACACATAATACGAGAAATATTTATTAATCTGTATTATTTCTTGTTTAATGCTTATAAAAGGTAAGTATAACATAATTTTACATGTAAAATTGTATTATACACACACCAAGTAGCGGGAAATGCAAATATAAACTTAAGACATATGATTTGACACACGTCATAAAGTTTAAGATGATCTTTAAAAATATTAATGATGGTTTAAGATACAGTGTTGAACGTACCTAGAGTTAAAATAAATGCTTGATTATTATAATAACTTTATAAAGTATACATATTTAAACTGGAATCCTTATCACCATAATATTATACTGTCAACGTTTTGCAGAGCCTAGAGTCATTATTCTGAAAAACAGTCTGATATCCCGCGTTGTACTACGTGTAAACATTATATATATATTATACATATTATAATCTTTCGCGAAATCCGAAACGCTGTAACGAAGGAGAACGTAAAACTGGTGTGTTGGGACCAAACTCGTTGCTCATATTATTATATATTATAATATCCGTACATGGAAAACGTTTGGGTTTTATGTGACGACTTCCTACGGTTGCCGTAAAGTAAAAAGGCAATTTTCTACCTGAACGTCGGGGTTTTCGATATCGGGGTGACCAGATGTGCGCGGAAGAAGAATAAAACAAAGTCTCCGTGGTCGTCGCCTACATCCTCATATGTGCGACCATATGTTTATATTGGACATAACAGCAGAAAAACTGCTGGGAGGCCATGTGCGACGCGAATGAACCTTGTCTGCTCATAATATATATATTATATATATTATTATTTATATTTTATACTCACATACATACATACATATATATATGTATATATATGTATAGTATAAATACAGACGGGGGTGTGTGTCACGCTTAAAGATATCGGGAGACGACACCCACTAGCAAGTCTGGATAACAGCTCTAGACGACGTGAGTACACGCAAATCGTATGCACTTCTCCCTCTCCCTCACACTCTCTCTCATTCTCTCTTATTCTATCTCTCTCACTATCTCTATATCCGTCTCCGTCTCTCTTAACTGGTGCGTGTGCCCGCGGTCATAACCGTTCCGTGCGTCTATGCGGTCTGCTCAATAGTTAGGTATATTATTATAAGTATAATAATTATGACGGCGGCCGCCCGCTATGTCCAAATGCCTTCTCGTTGTCGAAACGAACCGTATAAAAAAACTATATGTATAATAATAATATTATCATCTACCGACGTCAAGGTCGTTCAGACCAGGCGATCTCCTGTTGTAGTGGTTTGCCATTCGATAGACGGCACCGATCGTTCTTAGTCCATAAAGGACTAAGTAGAAGACTCGGCGCCCGTGGAACGTTTTTGGGGTCTAATAAGTTGGGTTCATTGCCATAAGATATTTTCCAAGACAAAAATAAACTAAATTTTTATAAAACTCTAAGTATCACTATGATATAAAAGTATACATGTTCATGTAGAAATAAAGTAAAATATAGTTAAACTTTAATAGGTATTTATTAGACAGCAAAAATATATCTAACACCTATTATGTGTTAGGATTAATTTTAATACATTTTATAACTAAACATATTAAAGTCTTTTCAAGGTTGTTAATATTTTTTTGGTGTAATAACAAGTTTTCAAAATGTTTAACACTACGTTATAACAGTTCAACTAAATTTCTTAGTTATAGTCAAGAAGTATCGTCGCCTCTTAAACCAATTATTAATTCAAGTTTGTACAGAACACCAGACCAAAATGTTACGATATCTTATACGAGACTCTCGTATTTCATATTTTATAGGTAAGCATACAATTACAAGTATTTCATGTTTCAATATTATCATCATAAATAAAGTTTTCCAATAATAATGATAAAAGAATCTCTTTCGGTACGTTACACATCATTTAATAGTCTAATTAAACTAATTGGCTAAAGCGATAAAATATTATTTAACATTTTCAAATAATTTGAAATAATTCCTTTGTAAGCAAAATAACAATTTTATAAGTTCATAACGCACAACATTTAATGCTTTCTAGTTTTTTTTTCAATATTTTAAAATTTAAATGTATTGTATTATTAATATTGTACCCTTTCCTTTACTTCAGTACTTTTCCCACATTTATTACTAAAAAAAATCCATAAATTAATAATTACCTATACATGGTCGCTTTTTCATGTGTACAAAATGAGGTTAGGTACAACTCGAGAGCTCTAAAATTTTACTATTGCACGTCATATAAAATAAAGCAATAACCTAATCTGAATACTCCGAACAAATTATTTACTTGGTGGTTTTAATTTGATCCCGCGGGTTGGTTTATATTTTTTCTTTGAAATGAGTTGTTACTTCAGGCATATCAGAACTATCACGTATACTACAACTCTGTATAATGAGTTTATGGCAACACCTAGAACGATAGGTATTTTATTCGATGAAGATTAACACGTTCGATGAACTACTCTTAATAATTTAAATATTGGTGAGATAAGAGTAGGTACATTAGGTGTAATTATTAATTTCATTTAGAATTAAGATTCATGGACGATTATTACTTATTTTTTTTACTTTCGAAAACATGACAAAAGTACGATTTACGATATCTCCCCCAATCTGATCAGAATTTCATATCAAATGTAAAAAAAATTCAATGTAAAAACAAATGAAAAGTTAACTAGTAACAAAAGAGTAAAACTGATCCATCTTTAGTTGTTTAATAGAATAAAGAGAAAGTTCAGAATTATTAACTGCATATAACACACATAGTCGAACAAGTGAAGTTTCTCAAATAATCCACAGATTTATAATAGGGTTATTAATATATTATACAAAATTAAAATCATAAATTTACTAAAAAACATCGCGTTTTACTTACAGAAGAAATTAATTTTTATTGAAATATTTATTATTTGTTTCTTTTTTGTAATTTATGTCTTTTCAATAATTTATTGAACGTGTGTAAAGGTAACTATACTATAATAAATTAGTGTGCTATACAATTTCACTAATAACATATTATTGTGCTTATTAACGAAAACTACACAAGTAATAATAATATATGGTTGGTGAATACACAAAACATCGTGTAATCGTCCCACTATATTATAGAATAAAAGGAAAACATGATTTATCAAAATTATTTGCATTTACAAATGATCTTAAATTTCCAAGAAAATATTATTCATGAAACACTCGATTATAAACGAGACGTTCGATTGCAACCATCGCGATTTTGTGCGATTCGGTACACCACGCAACAACGACTTTATTATGATATAGGTACCAGGTACCTACTACTGTATACTATTATATACGATATACCACTACTATGCTAATTGCTAAAGCACCGATCGACAAGTTTGCCCACGAGTTTTCCAGCAGATCTTTTGACCTCTGTTATTCGTAATAATAATAATTATTATTTATTATTAACAAGAAAGAATGTTAGATATTATATTTGTTATATTTATACTTAAAGATGATCGCGTGGGAATCCACGTCGTTCCGTCAAGTCACTGTTGACATTATGCAAACTTCGGTATTGTTTCGCAACCAGCGCCCCAAACACACGCCTCGGGTTCCTACAGTATGCGCTATCACGGCGGCCAATTAAAAAAAAATCAGCCCTGTTATCGTCATGTGTTGATTTTTAAAATTTAGGCCATGGATGTGAAATCTCAGAGGCAACGGAGTGGTAACAAAAAAAAGAAGAAAAAACTCCACTCGGGTCCGGTACTGTATAAGGACAATACGGCATTCTTTTCTGTATACCGGCCCGAGCTTCTGGTCTATAACGGATGATTTGTACAGCCTAAACGGGCACGTCTTCATTAACGAGAAAACTTCCTCTCCGCCCGCTGTGTTCGTCTCTAGATCCGGACGTCCGCAACGAAGGTCACGAGTGCGAAAATATAAAAACCCCAACGGCAAGGACCTCCATACACGTATCCGTCCTGCGTCTGCAAAGAAAAATAGCTCGGATAACAGTATCGTAAGGACTGCATGAGCTGTTTTCTAAGAGCATAATAATATAATGTAGCTTATTATCAGCGCAGGTTATTAAACTACTCCGGACGGTATATACACACTACACAGTCAACAAATGTTTTTGTTAAAAACAATATACGTATACACATCTATTAATTTATTTCTATTGTTCTAGATATTATATAGGCACTATATATATATACAATCAGACGCATTCGTGGTACGTAGTCTTAAGTATATTACATAATATAATATTAAATACGTTGTCATACAATAACGGCAGAAGCGTTGTGTGTACCTTCCTCGTACCTGTAATCTGTACAATTATAATATTATAGTATCGCTCTAATATTATATATATATATTTTCGTTTAAATTTCTTCAAACGGGCTAGATAATATAAAACATAAATTTGTATTGTATTATCAACTATTATTAATGATAATTTATAGCTTTTATCTTTTATTAAAAAGTGTCGATTATGTTATAGTACCTAGATTACTAATTAAAATTATTTACGTTAAAACATTTTTAATGGCATATCATATTAAATAATATGCTCCTAGGTCAAACAATAACTATGTATAGGTATACCTATATTAGAATGAGTATAATAAATAATTCAATTAATTTGGTGTTATTATGAATGAGGTATTATAAATATATGCAATCAGAATATTACAAATAAATGTAATTTATATTTGTACAATTTGTGATAGATAATACTACTATAAAAGTATAAATTAGAAAAATTGACATACATGCTATCTCTACGTAAATGATATAGTAACGTAAATATCTAGTAATGAGTAATATAATATGTTTTGTATTGAAAAAATTGTATTTTATTATATTGGTTAATCGTTATAACAGAGATTGTAATTTTATCTTTGTACTCGAAATCTAGAATATCAAACTAATTTTTCTAAAATATAATTTGAATGGACGAAAGGTAATACAGATAAATCTGTCAAGTCGGAGTCGATTTATTATACAACTAACAATGTGTTCATACTTTTAACAATAAACTTCCTCATGCAATCATAATTCCCTTTACCTGAAAATATAACTATCTAAGCATTGGAATAAGTCTCGTCGTTAGGATACTTTAAGTTGTGGTGTCACATCACATGATTTAGTAGTACTTTCTACCAGTATTATTATAAACTTCATGACAGTTCAAGGCAGTTTTGTGCACCGTAGACGATTTTCCAGTTAATTTCGTTCATGACATTTTTCGAAAAAAAATTGTTCTACTCCTTACCAATTAATAATAATAAAAATTCAATAATTTTAACGCAATATTTACCTTTATACGGTATAACATGGTGTCCTGGTTCGGTTTGGTGACCATTGACGCATGCGACCACCAAAAATATAAGGAACAGCATAATTTTGTTTTGTCTTTTTGTAAGTCCTGAAAATGAAAACCAAACAATCAAACAATGTAGGCATAATCAACTATTTAGTTGGGTGTACGAAATAATAAACGTGACAAGTTTGTTGTTTTAAGGTTTCCAAATATTACCAATAGTAATCACTTTTTTGACGCTCAGACTCCAGACTTACGACTAACAATCGTTCAGTGTCATTAAAGAGACATATGAAACGGATCGTGTGCAACGGTTGACCTAACCTTACGCAAATCAATATTGTTTATTATGCTTACTTTAAACCCTATTAGGGACAAGTGATGGAGAATGGTAGGTCAGTATAAGGTACCCAATACAAGAGTACATAGAATATTATATTACACTATCTACTTTTATGCTTGTTCAGCGTGATAGATTACCCGTTGTGTATCAACTGTCCTTTGTTGGAACCGTGGAGCCATTTAGTCCTGTAGACCAGTCTTCTTCTAAGGAAAACAATCAGACGTTCAGTCCAGTTTAACACAAAACATAATGTAATGACTCAGAAAATGTTTACTGTTTCAGAAGTATGGCCAAATAATATAATTATGATGTATCTGCATATTTTATTGGCTTTGGACGATTTTTTACTAACAAATTACATTGAGTGTTTCAACGAATGACGATTTAAAAGAAATTTATCTTATTAACCAACATAGTAAATGTACAATATGAATATAAAATTAGACTACGGTTCACAATCATAAAAATTGATGTTTTATATTTTCACTCAAATTTAAAATACATTTATTATTTTACATTGATATATAAATGTGACAATATAGGTAAATTAAAGGTAAAAATATGCATTTCGTCAATGATATATAAGTACATATTAATTGTCATGTTTAGAATAATATAAATTTAAGCTTATTTAATGGAACTATAAAGAGAACAATGCAAAATAGAAAATCGTTTGTTTGAAACTATAATTTTAGTACGTTTTTATTGTAGGTACCCCATAAGTAATTATGTTTTGTAGAAAGTTCAATTAGGTATATATTTTTTATTAAATAATACATGATTTTTAAATAGGCTACCAAATATTCTAAATGGTCAATGTGCTTAAGATCAATAAAAAATATATATAATAATAAACAGTAGTCACTTCAGGCAAATTAACCTAATTTAAACTATAATTATATTTTTAACAAGAAGCTTTATATGTGTACATGTTTACTTTCATAAATTATACACCGGTTAATGAGTGTCCCTCAATATTTTACTACAGTAAATGGATTATTATGGTGAATTTATCATATAATTATATATTATATTGAATATTGCGAACCAGTAGATGCAATTTATAGAACTTATAATTTTATCTAAAATAATAAAATATCTGTACGATTATACCATAATAATCACAAGCAAATCAATTATATGTTATTAAATATATTTTTAAGTGTAGGTATCTAAAAAGTTAAAAGATTTTGTAATAATTTACAAATATTTTGATAATAGTTCCTCGCTGACACAGTGGTCAGGAATCTACGAACAAAAGTCCGGTAAAAAATGTCCGATGTCGTAAAAGTCCACGAACAAAAGTCCGATTTATTTATTTTGTATATATATATATAAGTAAGTATTTTTCAACTCAAAACAATATTATTGGTACAATAAAAATAAAAATATGACATTATAATTTTTTGGTCAGATTGATAAAATATTATATTACCAGTATAATAATAAATTAAATTCCAATGTACTGTATGCGACTAAAGGAGTTAAAATATGATCTATCAAACTTAAAAATGAAATGTTTTATCATACGCCCTATATCTTTTTTTACTTAATCATAAAAGTATAATATTGTGTACATAAACATATAATTAACTTATAAATAAATGTATATCATAATAAATAAACCGGACTTTTGTTCGTGGACATTTATGACATTGGACTTCTTTTACCGAACTTTTAGGTAGAATCCCAGTGGTCAGTGGCACACTAGCACGCCACACATATTATATACTATATAGGTACCTAAATAAAAGTAGATACTATACAAAATATGGGTACTTTTTTAGTTTGTTACTCAGTTTCTACAAGTTTTAATGCTACTGGATAATATTATTACTCTACTAATTATGTATACTTGACCTTTATCGGAAAACAAATACGGAATAGATACCAATATCAAGTCCATATCATGTTTGATAAAGTAGTTATAATGTTTTAATATCATAATATATAGTATAAGTCGTGCTATCAGTTTATTAGTAAAATAAATTGCGAGTCAAATGTCCGACCAGATAAAAGTTATAGATTACATACAAAAAACAAAAAATAAATAGGTAACTGTTTTCTTTTAATTTAATTGCGAATCAGAGTTATTACTTAATATCTACTTATTACGATATAGTAATAGACATAGTACCTTATACTTGTATTGTTTCTTTATTAAATATTGGTTTATTAGTTAATTATTATTTGGAGCGTCGTCATTATTCAAAATATTATGATAGGTATTCGATGTATATTTCAATTGGTTTATAAAAATATCTTCAAACGAATATGTTATTCAAATTCTAGCAAAAGTTGGAGTTCACGGTGGATGGTTTAAAATATATACATATATTTTTTTTGTTGACCACAGTAATTGTTTAGAGGGGAAATATGGTTCTAACCGAGCACAAAAACGAACAGTAGGTAGGTACCTAGTCATTCCAAGCCCAGTACGGTTTCTCTTGAACTTAGCTGAATACGTTATAATAAGTATGAAAGAGGAAAAAATGATTTCGATACTAGTTTTTACTTTAAACCTACCGCGTCTTGAGCAGACACGTACACGCGCACGCATCCGGTTGGTGTATAATACCTCCTTGTGTGGCTACCGTTTTATTTTTAACAAAAAAAAGTACTCTTACAAACATATCCGCAGTGAATACAAAACTCAACAAAACGGTCAGTGGATACAATAACGTTTTAGTGTTCTTAGTTCTCAGAACTAAAATGTCGTATTGTATATGTAGTTATAATTTTTAATGAAATAATGTAACATCTATTAAAATATTATACTATTTGTTTTAATTTAGCCCCACATATATTATTATATTTATCGTAATAATATGTATGATATGATGAATTTAATACACACGAACATTGTCGACAAAACTCAAAATTAATTTTGAGAAAAAAATCCTCGTACGAGCATAAAACAATAACAAAGAATTAACACAAACATCAAACTATACGACTGAATTGTGGTACTATATTTTAATGTTTTAGTATCTAGGTAAAATGAATTTATAATAGTAAGAATATAAAAACAAGAATATTTAATTTTTCGCTGACACACTATACTCCACAGTCTGCACTACAGTCCTATACGTTTATACAGTAGATAAAAAGATCAAAGAATATTGAATAGCTAATGCTACTGTCGGCAAATGTTAAAACCCTGTGTAATTAATTTATTGGTAATAATGTATTATGGCCGTTACTTAATATAAGCTTACTAACGAATAATATACAGAAATTAATAAAATCTATTTTAAAAAATGCATGGTTAAAATAATTTAGATTAATTAGTCACAAATATGTTTACTAAGATAAAACCAATTTCATAAAAATAAGAATCACTAATTCACAATCATAATAATAATTTTAAACTACAAAAACCATTTTTTAGAAGATAATTATTCACAATAAATTAACAAACCCTATTTTTTCTGTATAGGTACATACAAATACAATATATAAACGAAATACTTATAAATACAAATTACAGTTAATTTTGTCAACTAAATAAAGAATATAAATTTACGAGCCTGAAAAAAGGTACTTATCGTATGTAAGAATACTATTTATGTGATAACATGAATTCTGAAGTTGTCTTCTTTTTTTATGTAATAATGAAATCATAATAATATAAAGAATTTAAGTATACTTCTTTGAATTTTAAAATAAAATACTTTAAAAATATGAAATAAACAATATTGAAGATACCATATATTATGGTTTAATCTTGTTCAAACTATAATATTAAAATGTTTACAATACGACTTTTAAGCTGCTAACTGAGCGCAATTCTACCATGATTCTAAGACAAATATTATATACATAAACCCAATTGGAGCAAGTGGAGTTTAACTTTTTTGCTAAAATACATCACACGCGTAATGTTGTAAAACCAGTATATTCCTCTCTCAGTTCAGAATCTAAGATAATAATTCTTTATTCTAGATAGTCATAAATTGTAAGTGATTGTTATTTTGGTATTTAATGTTTTATTCAATATAAGTAACTTCAATTTTAATTTTAATAACTTATGTTGTAATATTTGACGATTAGAATAAAATGTTATAATTAAAACAATTTCAAATACAATTTTTTTTAAATAAATAGAAAATTTCCCATTTATTTACAAATAAGTAATAAACATCATACTACTACGCTTTATACCATATATTAAAGCACGTTAAATATTGTTGATCAGCTACCTACAACTGTTATAGTACGCATTTTATCACATCGTTGTGATTTGAATGGTTTTCAACAACGGGCGGTGTCCATTGACATGGGCCATTAATTTCATTGAATGATAAAATACGTTAATTAACACACTCACATTTCAATACCACTATACGGTTTCAAAAAGAATAGGCTTTTGTAATTTACCCAAAAAATCAATCCAGACTAATAAAAAATATAAAAAATTGCAATACGATATAGTATGTACCATTGTACCTACTTAGCTTATGTATAATATATTATACTCGATACATAATATTATCCATCATTTAAAACTTATAAGTATTGTGTTAAAATGCTAAGCAGGCTAAAATGCAATTGATTGAAGTGTGATAAAAGAAACAGGAACTAGCTAGTGTCATTGAAAAATTACCTTTTTTCACTATAAAGAGTTATCAACAATTTTTATTGAAAAGTCATCAAAAATTAAAAAATAACCATTATTAGCATTGGAATAAAATACAATTATGAATAAATGTAATAATAAAAAAAGAAGGCATACATACAATTAGTTATTGCTTATGTAAAT